GGATTGGTCTTTTCTGTGTGACTTAGGATTGGTCTTTTCTGTGTGACTTAGGATTGGTCTTTTCTGTGTGACTGAGGATTGGTCTTTTCTGTGTGATTGAGGGTTGGTCTTTTCTGTGTGACTGAGGATTTGTGTTTTCTGTATGACTGAGGATTGGTCTTTTCTGTGTGACTTAGGATTGGTCTTTTCTATGTGACTGAGGATTTATTGTCTTTTCTGTGTGACTGAGGATTGGTCTTTTCTGTGTCACATTTATTGCCGTTAGTGGTCACTTAATGGGTCGATATCTAATTAATTCTCATCTTTGTAATGAGGGCCTATAGTTAATTTCTTATCGATAATATTAATCAAGTCACATGGACGTAACAGTTTAATTATGTCAGCCTAAAAGTACCTAAATATCGATAAAATTGTTTTGAGATTCTATATTGCTCTGTTTTAAGAATTTTTTTCAGCTTTGTGTTTACAAGGGTGGCAAGTTACTTTTAGCGACAACTTTTGTCTTGGGTCTTATAAGGACCAATAGTTTAATTACTTTCATTTACATGTAGATTAGGCTGTTGCTCGTAATTTTTAAACTCCGCTAATTTCGAGTAAAATTATATCACAAACAAACAGGATTTTTTTCCCTACACATTGATACCAATTTTGTGTCTCTAGCTTAATTAGGAGCTAAGATATGGCCTTTTAAAAATTTGTGGGCGTGGCTTAAACAGCTTAGACCTTCGTCATTCAAGTCTATGTTACGCAAGCAAAAAAGTTGGCACCGATGGTTTTTTCATTGCATCATCACGGATTCGCATTTTTCGAAAAATTAAAAAATTATAATTTTATTGCATCATCCGGGATTCGCATTTTTTTTAAACTAAAAAATTATAATCAAGCTTAAAGCCTAAGTTATACTGGACTGGATATGATTGACTGAGTAATTTAATTCCATTCATGATTCATATATTATTATTGACTTATTACTCCGTGTAAAAAAATTAATGTAGGTTTAAAATAAACTAGATCTAGTTATTGTAAATCGATTTATTAATATTTAATACTGTTACTACTATTATATAATAGAAATGCATAAGCACATATTACTTCACAAGTTCTTTAATGTAATTGTAATGAACGATATTACTTGGGTAGATGAAGTAGAGTAGACCTACACACACATCACATGGAAAATGGAAGTAGCAACTGGTTGCCTTAAAGATACCTTCTCAACCCCACCCCCCACCCCCTTGATATTCAGTGTCTATATCAGGAGGCCATAATAAAATTATAGAACACAAGAAAAAGAAAACAGCTGTCAAAGTGTGTACCAGTGTTTATTACTACTGAACTATGCATACTGACATTTCAATGTTTGCTAAAAGAAATATAAATTATTAAAATACAGTAATCAGATTACCACATGAATTTTAATTTCGTCTAATAAAATAGAAACATTTAGGAGAATGGCAAAGTAAAAAAAAGATTTTTTGCAATAATTTAAAAATATGTTTATAAGAGCAAAGAAATAAATTACATAGTGACAACCTAAATTTAACCCTTGTATAATCTACGATCAACACAGTACTGTAAAACAGTTACATAATCAAGAAATTAGCCTCTTCTCATTACGATCCCTCTTAAGAAGAAAAGTAGTATTAATTATCAAGGAATAAACATTAAAATATTGGTTTAAAGTATAATTACTAGTAGATCTAGATCTAACCCATTTATTGAATGTATGCTGGAAAAAAAACAGGTGACGAAAAATTTCATGGATCACTTTAGTCGCTTTAGTGTTAAAACAATTTTCTAAAGTATCAATTATAATTAATCTTTAGATACAATTAGCACATCTAAGGAAAAGAAGCACATTGACTACTGATTCTAGGGTTATCTAGCTGATTTCAATTACCCTGAAAAATAAGTTAAGTAATTAATTAAAATGTAATATTTTTTTTACACTATGAACACTAAACTTAATTATAAACATTGTTAGTATTACTTTTCAAAATAAGTTTACAATTCACAGCAATCATTTTTTCAGTAACAATTTACAAAAACACTAATGTTTAAAAAATAAAGTTCATTTTTATACTAAAAATGAAAGAAGTACTCTGAAATTCTGTTTAGCTATTATTCAGAAAGAAAAACAAGATTCCTATAAAGTCAACCACCAGTGATTCTGCCCGATGACTGAAATCCTCAGCATTATCCTCATCCTCTGCCCAGTAGCTTATGGTGTAAAGAGCTGTTTTTTGTTTTGTTGCTGCAGTCTTTTAATAGTCCTTCCACTGTATTGCGACACACCCTGATCACCTTGCTCCCACTTATGAGTCAACTGGCCACCAATCAGATTTCCCATCAGATACCTCTCCAGCTGTCGCACCAAGAAAGGCTCAGTAGAAGTCAACAACACTTTCATGACTTTAAGAAACAGAGTACATTTGATCGCCACATTGCGTTCTTGTAAATGAGCTTTATCAAAGGACCAGAAATTAACTTCCCAATCAGCCTGAGTGCTTGCTGCGCTGCACGGGAACCCCAGGCTTCTTGAGATCTGCAAGCAGTTGAATGTAGACTTAAGTCATGTCCCAGCAGCCACATCATTCTCTTTAAGATGAGCCTTGAATAAAGCTGGATCTCCATGAAAACTGTACCTGAAAAGAGAAGGGCAAATGGAATTAGAATTTAGCAGACCATTTTACAAAATATATATCTAGCACAACATATTGCAAACTATATAAAATAAATATAAACATTAGAAATAAATTCAGTCTCCATACTTACTGAATGTACTTCCACCTGAGACATGGGTTGAACATAGAAAGGGCTGTACACAAGTTCCACCAACCTATTCCCAGTCACAAGCCTGTTCTCCTCAGCCGCTTTATCTCAGCCATCAAGTTTCTGATTACATTAGCAATCCTTCTTACACCTTGTTGGTCTTGCCTATAAGCAAATAAGATGTACAAAGAAAACAAATTGACCCAAGTCAAGAATTAAATTAATATTAATAAAATTATCAAGTACTAAAATTGTCCTTAATAGGCCTAATTATGGATATATACATAGGCCTACATTAATTTAAATATATAGGCCTACTTGATGGAGAATTATACCTGCACTAGTCTAAATCTATTCTTAACCATTTAACAATGTCTCACTATTTTTACAAGATCTAGAATCTAGATCTAGACTAGATCTAGTACTTGTATGACCTAATCAAACATAATGATTAAATGATTGTGTTCATCTACTAAATGTACTGAATTAAAATAAATAGGCTAATTAATGAATTGATATAGGCCTAGTCCTACTTAATACTTAATGCAGAATTAGATGAACACTTATAGGCCTATAATTATATAATTAATTAACTTATCTAGATTCTAGATCTAGGTCTAAATCTAGAATCTAGATCTATATCAAAATTAACTAGCACCTTTTATTTCTTACTAGTCTAGATCTAGAATCTAGATTAGTGTAGGCCCTATTAGCCTATAGATTAAATTAGATCTAGAATTAAACTAGATCTAGGCCTAAAGCTAGATTATTTTTTTACTAGATCTAGATCTATTCTAAATCTAATCTGATCTAGACTAGATCTAGTTACTATACTATAGATCAATAGAGCTAGTAATCTGGATTCGTTTTTCTAAATCCAGAATCTATTAGGCTATCTATCTTATTAATAATATCATCTAGATCTAGATCTATTCTATGCCTATTTACTACTAGATAGTCTAAATTTTCTATTTTCTAGAGCCTAGATCTAGAAATCTAGATTTAAGTCAACTTGTGTAAAAATCTTAAAATTAAATTAATGTAAAGTCTAGATCTAGATTTCTAGACCTAATTGTCCTAATCAACCGTAATAATTTAGTAAATGTAATGTAGGCTACTTAAACTAAATTATTAATTATTAGTAGGCCTATAGTATACTAATAGTAATCAAGTAATGCGATATTTTAATAATGTAAGAATCACAGGAAATTTGGCGCGAAATTAAGGCTCTATCGCGGTGGGCCTTCCTAGGCTTGCGGACCATTGAAATCGTAATTTTAAAATATAGGTTAATTTTAGAAGACCCAATTATTAGTCTAGTCAACATTTGGGCATGTCAATGTAAATATTAAGTACCTTATTATTTATAGATTCTTACCTTATATTTCAGCACATTGCTCCTCTGTAAGATAACAAACGAGATCCAAAAATTAAAATAGGTTTTGAATCTAAATCCTCTTGAGGTTAAAACAAAGATGCGCACTGTGTCATGCGTAGATCAGGTGTGCTGTGGTTTCGCCTTAAGCGACATGGCCTTAATTACCAATGGGCAACCGGAAACATGGAATTTAGGTTCAAGGTACAGCCATGATTACCATGGCAACAAAGGTCACGGCGCAAGCTGCGCAAATGGGTCGATATCTAATTAATTCTCATCTTTGTAATGAGGGCCTATAGTTAATTTCTTATCGATAATATTAATCAAGTCACATGGACGTAACAGTTTAATTATGTCAGCCTAAAAGTACCTAAATATCGATAAAATTGTTTTGAGATTCTATATTGCTCTGTTTTAAGAATTTTTTTCAGCTTTGTGTTTACAAGGGTGGCAAGTTACTTTTAGCGACAACTTTTGTCTTGGGTCTTATAAGGACCAATAGTTTAATTACTTTCATTTACATGTAGATTGTCTAAATGTTTTTAAAAAAAAAAGAATCCCAATATAAATTATTAAATAGCCCCCCCACCCCCAACCGCATTATAATTATGTACTGGAATAGCTGCCAAATTGGATACATAATAACATTTATGTATTTCTAAATTTTTAAGGACTTTGATGACAATTTTTAACGTATCACCATTTTAATTTAATTGTTTTGAGATAAAAAAAAGCATTTATTAAAAACAATATGAAAGTAGAAAAGTCTAAATGTACAATTGGCCTGTAGGCCTAATAAATTATGTTTTTAACTTTGACCAGCAGAAAAAACATTCCATTGTTTTGTTTATGCCTATGCATCAAAATGGCGTCCGGCATGTGGGAAGAAGTTCTCGCTGTTAAGACCGAAAATCGCAGAGAGCTTAATTTACAGGGTCCATTTATCAATAAAAGAATTGAGGATAGAGGGTTAGATGAGGGGGTTTTTACGTTGACTGGCTTGAACCTATTAAAAATAGCAGGCACTCCGTTAGAAAGTTTATCAGAAAAGCTAGGGAATCTGAACAATCTCACGTCATTGATGCTAGAAAATAATAAATTGAAGGAACTACCCTCCTCAGTCGGAAATCTAGTATCTCTCAAATTTCTTGATATATCAGGAAATAAACTTGAATCATTACCCGATACACTCTCAAACCTTGTCAACATACAGTCTTTAAATGCAAACCTGAATAACTTGCAGTCCTTCCCAGATGTTTCCAACATGAAAGTTCTTGCTTACTTGAGTATTGCTAGAAATAAATTATCTGCTTTACCACCGGGAGTTTGTGATCCAAGTTTAACGTTGCTAAGCACAATTGATGCTGCCAACAATGAAATAACTTCAATACCCACTGAGATTTCTAATCTTACTCATTTAATCAAATTGGATGTAACATCTAACAAGTTAGATTCATTACCCCTTGAATTATGTGAGTGTCCAAAATTGAGAGAAGTGATTATTGTAGATAATAAAATGAAGGATAGGAAATTGTTGAAGCTTGCAGAACACTCAACAAAAGCATTACTAAACTACCTCAAAACTCAGTTGGACAAACAGCAAGCGCTAGAAAAAGGTAATAAGAAAGACAAGTCTAAAAAAAGTAATAAGAAGAAAGGGGATAAAAAAGAAGTTGAAGATTTGGAGCGCGACATCATATCAGTTCTTCAATTTGAAGTCGACAATGGATTTGTCATTACAGCTACACAAGCAGTTATGAGTGTGCGGCAATACATTGTTTGTTGCATTATTAAAAATTTGGATTTCAGCAAATCAAATAATATGTTCAAACGCTTCATCAATTTGCAGGTAGGACAATTAGTCTATGTCACCCTGACTATAATTTTAATCCACTATAATTAGGCCTATAAAAACTTCTGTCAATGACAATAACTCTTAGCACAAAATTAGCTATTGGCAATTATCACAGGCCCAAGTACTAATTTACCAAGGCACAGGCATGTTGTTTATACATTGTGATCTTTATACACACTCGTTAGCCTAATTAATTAAAAAATTTGATGTCATTTATTTTTTATCAGACTAAGTTGCATGAATCAATCTGTGAAAAGCGACAAACAGCTACAATTGCAACACATGATTTCAAGCTTATCAAGGCTCCACTTGTGTATGATGCGCTTAGACCACATGTAATCCAGGTTAGTAAACTTAAACAGCATAATCAACCCATAAGGCTTATTTCAAGAAATGTATAAGATAGTACATCTGTTTTAATTTTTTTTAACACTAGTCAGCAGGGGGGTCGCTTAGGTTGGGTGTCATCCAGTGCGGCACCACATGGTCAGTGTCACACATACCCTCCCCTTTTTCTTTCTTGATAAATTTTGCAGTTAGTTTCATCTCCCCCCCCCCCCCCCACCCTCCAGTAAAAGCTTTAAAGTGTTCACAATAAATACAAATGATGTTAATCTATTATACAGCTGGGTGTAGCATTATTTTCTCTATAGTTTGTTTACATCATGGTTTTACCCCCACCCCCCTTGTCACGATCGTCATTATGTATTTACTTAAAATATTTTTTGAACATATTTATTCTATATATCTAGCATTTTTTTTGCCTTGGTGTCACCCAATGCAGTCCCCCCCCCCCCCCCCCATGCCGTCTCTGCTTGTCAGCATTAAATTTTTTTATTAACAGATAACTCCTTTGTTCAAGACCAAAGTGACCACAGCTGAAATTTTGATGAAAGAGCTAAGGGATGAAGCTGAGGCATTTAGAAAAGAAAAAAAAAGAAGTACTTTAAGTGGTATTCATAAGTATGTCATTTTTAAAAACCCATTGGGCATGAGTGTAGTAAATTTTTAGCAAAAATATTTCTCCTACTTTTTCTGCATACTTACTTATAGGTCTATTAAAAATGTTGTAACTTTTAACAGCTGTCATCTGTCTTCAAGGGTTTTAGAAAAAGCCCCCCTTGTAAGCAGGCTCAAATAATAATGCCCTTGAATTTGTTAACTGTATTTTTCAACTTGGACCAGACTTGTTGAAAAAGAGATAGCTTTGACTTGCCAAGTGTTTACAGTATTTAAATATCCATCTGATAGATATCTGGACCTCTTGAAGGACAAGACTCATTACCCTTGTTTAAAGGATGCTGATGGAGACGTCATATCCTTTCCCCCTATAACTAACAGTGAGAAAACAAAGGTAACTACACACCATGTTTGCTAGTTTACTGTTGATTCTTAGAATTTCAAATTATCAATTTAAAAATAACTTTTTTTTTTTTACAAAACTAGAATTTCAATAAAACCTAACATACATGTTCATGATTTTAAAGTAATTAGCTTATTGTTTCAGATTTCTAAAGAAACCACTGATATATTGATTGAAGTGACTAGTTCAACTAATTTAGATGTGTGTAAAAAAGTTTTGGAGGAGATGCTCAGAGAAACTTTGCTGCTAGGTGTTGGTACACCTGGTTCAGGTCAGTTTGCCTGAAAGTTACATAATACTAGCCAATTGTTATTTTTTTGTCAACTGGCATTGGTTGACAGTTGGGAGTGAAATTTCAACAACTTCTAACACACAGATTTCTTTAAAACTTAACTCATAGGTTAAGACCTCATGACAGTTCACATTATGACAAAACTTGACAGGATGTTTAATTAATTTTAAAAAGATGACTATTGATTCCTAGTATTAATTTTTTCACTATTATACATATTGTTTGCCTTTGTTGTGCCTTTCTTTTTTGTTTTGTGATTCTATTATATTAAAATGTTAATTAAATTAATTAATATGTAATTAAATCTTAATAAAATAATCTAGTAACACATGTAGCTTATTATTGTTGCATTGTCAAACAACATAAACTTCTGGTCAACAAAGTTTCAAAAGATTTGTCTATTTACTTTATAGATGTCGGAGAAAAGGAAGTGGAGGGAGAAGCTCCAAAAGAAGTGGATACTAGTCGCATGAGATTTCCTCAAAAGCTAACAGTAGAACAGGTCAAAGTTATTGATGCTCAGGGAAATCTACGAGTGATATTCCCTTCAAGAGTAGATTTACAAAACCCAGCTTATGACGTGATTAGGAACTATGAATAAAAATCTGCAGAATAATTTTCTGTTCATTTGATTTAACATAGGGATTTTTCATTATGGCTAATTTATTATTTGATTTTTCTAAATGCTTGCTTTTAATTAAATTTTATCTCCGTTTGTAATTGTCAGTCATAAGGCTAGCTGTTGTGATTCCTTCTATAATAAAATAAAAAGTAATCAGTGATTGGTATTTAAAAAACTAAAACATTTTCATATAATTGTTTCTACTCTTAGCTGAAAAAATTATTGAAAAAAAGGTAAGCTACAAAAAATAATTAAGTTATTTTTCTGTTATCAAATTTTTTGTAGGTGCTGTTATTCTATCTTGATTTAAAAATTGAAAACAAAGACATGAATGCTTATTGAACCCATTTAAATTACTTAAAATATTGATTTTAAAATTGTGGTAAAAGTGTTGTCTTCTTCTAAGTATTTTGATGGATGCAAATAATTAGCTTGCTTCACATGAAATTTTAAATGGAAACTGTGTACCAGAAATTTCTGTATTTGGCAATAAACATTGTGTTCTTTCTTGAGCAAAGTTTCATGTTTGGTACAAACGTAAGTTTTGCATGTAATTAGGATTTTTTTTTAAAAACCTAATAAACATGGTGTATGCCTAGATTTAACAGTATCTGGATTACTGACAACATACAGGTTTTGTAATGATGGTCATACTTAAGATTTTTATAGATTAACATGAACGTCTCTTACCATCAACTGATTTTTTAATACTTAAACACAAGTCAACAAAATTATGTAAATCTAACACATCTTTAATTATAAACAAAAGAAAAATATTCAGAATTAGAAGCTGAAACTATATACAATATATATTATCACAATGTCTTTAGCACATGATTGTTGGTTTGTTAAAAGGACTTAGTTGTTAATATGAAATGAAGATATGTAAAGAATGAATGTACAAATTAGTGGTGGCAAAGACTAGCATCTATTGAGCAGCCATTAAGGAAGGATTAGTTTGGCAAGTCACTAAGAATGATCATGATAATTGCTTTACTCTTGTGTCAGGTTTCCATTGATCCATCTTACTGATAAAAAATTCAAATATTTTGCACACAATACCAATGCTCTGTGTCATGTCTGAAGACATGAAAAACCTAGAGCAAATCATATGGCAAATAGTTTCTTTTTTAAAACAATTGATAAATATTTAAAACAATTTTGTAGCAATAAGTACAGGCCAAATCAAATGTATAAAACAAAATTCTTAGTAACAGCTCATACAAGTAATGTAAGTTAACATCAAAGTGAAAAAACACAGAAATGATAAAGCCTAAGTTGGCCTATTGAAAAAAAATTAGGTTATCACATTAAAATGACTGCTTCATTTTAAAAAGTAAAAACTGTAACTTAAAAAACTACAATCTGTGTTTACACAGTTTTAAACTAGTTCACCAAAATTGTGGCTATGAAATCAACAGCTCAGTGCAGCTTTAAATAGCAAAGCTGACTGAAAGACTGAGATTTCTAGGTTTGAGTGAGTGATCATTTGACTGACTGCATGCTGTGGCTGAGGTCAGCTGAACATCCCCTTGAGCAAAGTCTTCTCTGTTTGTTCCTTCTGTTTAATCCTCTGCTCAAGGCTGGACAACTCTTTCTTCACAGCTGACTCCAGGCTGGAATCAAGTTCCACAACTCTGGCAAAATCTTTTTGAGCTTCTTTCAAATTCCACACAGCAGCATGTGCTTTACCTCGTCTGAACAACGCCTTGATGTTGTCTGAAAAAGTGGAGACAGCTTGTCAAATTCTGATTACTGGATGATTAGAGCATCAGGTATCCCACTTTACCTGGATCTCTCTCTAAAACATCAGCTATATTAGTCATCCCACTTACCTGGATCTCTCTCTAAAACATCAGCTATATTAGTCATCCCACTTACCTGGATCTCTCTCTAAAACATCAGTTGTATTAGTTATCCCACTTTACCTGGATCTCTCTCTAAAACATCAGCTGAATTAGTCATCCCACTTACCTGGATCTCTCTCTAAAACATCAGTTGTATTAGTTATCCCACTTTACCTGGATCTCTCTCTAAAACATCAGTTGTATTAGTTATCCCACTTTACCTGGATCTCTCTCTAAAACATCAGTTGTATTAGTTATCCCACTTTACCTGGATCTCTCTCTAAAACATCAGTTGTATTAGTTATCCCACTTTACCTGGATCTCTCTCTAAAACATCAGTTGTATTAGTTATCCCACTTTACCTGGATCTCTCTCTAAAACATCAGTTGTATTAGTTATCCCACTTTACCTGGATCTCTCTCTAAAACATCAGTTGTATTAGTTATCCCACTTTACCTGGATCTCTCTCTAAAACATCAGTTGTATTAGTTATCCCACTTTACCTGGATCTCTCTCTAAAACATCAGTTGTATTAGTTATCCCACTTTACCTGGATCTCTCTCTAAAACATCAGTTGTATTAGTTATCCCACTTTACCTGGATCTCTCTAAAACATCAGTTGTATTAGTTATCCCACTTTACCTGGATCTCTCTCTAAAACATCAGTTGTATGAGTTATCACAGGGTAGTAATCATGGGTCAGAAGTTTGCATTGAGAATAGTTGAGCAACAGTGGACGTTTCATTTCATCAAGTCTCTTCCAGTCTTCATCGCCTGGCTTTTCCCTGAGAAGAAATAAAGTATTCAGATTTTTTGAAAAAATGTTTACATTAAATTTAAAAAAAAGTAATTTTAAAAATATGTAATAACTCTTGGACATCAAGAAAAGTGTGAGGAGTCAGGGAGGAAGAAAAAAAAAGCCATTTTTGAAGCTGATGGGTGCACTGTAGGAATTCAAGAATTTGATGATTTAACTCCAGAAATTCAGTTGAGCGTTACTGCAAGAGATCAAGTATCTGATGGGTACACTGCAAGAATTCAGTTGTGAGTTACAGCAAGAAATCAAGTGACGGATGGGTACACTGCAAGAGATCAAGTTATGTGGGCTACTTACTGCAGCATGAGGTCCTCCAGCATACCAAGAGCTTGAGCGTATTTGTTGGCAGCCTCTTCATAGTTTTTCTTAGAGTAAGCTTCATTCCCAGCCTCCCGTAGCTTGGGGACACTTTCAAGTTTCTCCTTTTCATTCATTGACCAGCTTTCTTGCTCAAACTGTTCAGGAAGCTCAAGTGTGAGGAGTTCTGGGAAATTTTAAATGACAGCCATCTTGTTTATTCATCTCACATGACTCACCAAAAACTTAAAAAATAAAGTGTTTATCCACAGTTATATTGGGCTAATGAGAAGTACATCAAGTTTATACATGCAACATTGGAACAGCGCAATGGAAAACTGTGCAAACAGAAAAAATACAAACTAATTATACTAGTACACTTAAATTATATCATATTTCGAGGAAATATGTAATGTTATGCTACAATGAATTTAAGAAAACAAAAATGCCCTTGTGCACTTTTTTATGCGCAATTTCCATTGTGCATCTTTCAGGTCACCAAAATTTTCAATGGTTTATTACGAAATTAATATTATTTGTGTTTGTATTGTGTTGTCAAATGAACAAAATGCCTCAACATTGTCAAAATCTGCAGCCATAGTGCATAAATAAATTTTTTAAAATTACCAAGTGTAAATACTAAAGGTTGTGGGGATTTCATTAACTCATCCAAATCAGAGTAGCCCATTCCTTGCTCTGAAAGTGCCATCATGCCACAACAGTGGGAGGTGTGAGAATGGGTTGTCTTCCCTTTAAAAATATCACGTAAACTTTTGGCCACCACTGGGTAAACAGCTGCATGCTGGTAACATAAAAAAATACATTTTATATTTAAACATCTATCAGAGTGTACAAGATAAATTATGTATTGATCACATATTTACCTCAAGACAAATAATAGAGCAAAATTATGCATGGATCAACTACCCTACATATATTTTTTTTTCAAATACATCTATCAAAGTGTACTACTAGCAAACAGACAAATAGAATTCAGTGAATCGAAGCTTGCGTAAACAATTAACAAATATGATTTAGTTATAAACATAGAAAATACATTGGGAATGGTGAAAATTTATAGCTATAATATCCACAAAATTCTACTTTAATGTAAAACTTAACATCCATTAAAATTTGAAAAATGTGTTTATCCTAAAAAATTACTTAAGATGAAAATGATTTATTCAGTAAGGTGATTTCAAATGTAACAAAACAATTCAGTTACCTTAGTATCACAGGTAAACTCCGCCACTTCTTTAACTGTCATTGTTTTCAATAGTTTCTCCCAAACCTCCAACTTAAATTTCTTGCCAAATATCAGCTCCATAGGTTTACCTGTGTGTTTGCTGTCATCCAGCAGGGTTTTTTCTTCATCTGCTTTTGTTGTCCGATAATGAAATGTTGCCTATTATATGTATAAAAATATAATTTATTATAATGGATTCTGTGAGCTAGCTGATGTGACGGAAAGCCATAACTATCTTTCCTTTATAGATCTATTATCATGATTAAAATTTAATTACTTATTTAGTAGGACTATAGATCTAGATCTAGGCCTTGGCCTAATGATAGTAGGCTAATAAATAATAGGCCTAAATAATACTAAATATTATATTTTTGATGAAAATAACTACAATTTGTGTGCAATAATCTAGATCTACAATATATTCAACACTCCATGACTATGACAGACATACGAGTTCGAGTACTAGATCTAGATCAGATATCTAGATCTAGATCTACGACGCAAATAGACATAAAAACAAAAAAAATAGACTAAGTAGAATCTAGATCTATAGTAGACGTCTATAAAATATAAAGTAAGCCTAAACATTTTTTTTTTAATTTTCTCAGTTCTGTCTGTAGGTCTTGGTCTTGGAAATTGCATAATTTTTTATATAGATCTAGATCTAGATATATGTAAAATCTTTTTGTTCTTATATTCACAATTAAACAAGTATTAACGCATACTTTTGCACCATCTGGAAACGAAGGCACGATTCCATCACCAGCATAAATGATTTTTTTGAAAATTCCTTCTTTTTGGAGCTGATAAAAGTTTTCTGCCATGTTTGTTTACGTTCGTTAAGAGTTATCTTCTCCTCTGGTAATAAATTATTATTGTTAGCTTATTACTATATAGTATATTAGGCTAGATCTAGAATCTAGCCTATGATTAGAAAAAAATCGTTTTTTTCATGCTTCACATAGACTATACTATAAGCCTAATTATTTGATCTTAGGGCCTATTTTGAATTTTTAAAAAATGTCTAATAGCAAACAATTAGTCTTGTAGGAAATAATCTAGATCTATATCTAGATCTATGTGCTTCACTTTTGTATTAAAGGTCCCTGGCTTCTTCTTCGTTCTTAAAAAATAAGTATTGTGCGTGTCAGCCTGATGTACGCCATGTGGCCAGAGGCGTAGCGTCCCCTTTCCGGCGCCCGGGGAGAATTATCTATATTTGTGCCCCCTCTCATTTATATTATATTTATTCATGTTAGTGAAAAAGCGCCCCCCCCCATTGAAATGGTTGGTAACGCTTTTTACCAGTTACTAGTTTTTGCTTTAGTGCCACACAATGACTGAGCTTTTAATTTTTTTCTACCCTTTTTGGCGCCCATTAGGGTCGGCGCCCGGGCGACCGCCCCACCCGCCTTTCCTAACTACGCCACTGCCTGTGGCCTGTTGACTCCGATTTTAGCCTATTTTGATTTCTGGATGTGGTTCCATAGACTTCGTCATAAAAAAAAAAAGAAAATTCATCAAGGGAGTTGTTTGACTGGAGTTTACTCTCCTAGATGGGCTGCCGTCCCAAGTTAACTCGGGTAATTTTCAGTCATACGCTCGACCCTCCCCCTCCCACTGACTACACCGTCCACAAGTTCAGAGTTTCTTCCAGGCATCTCTTCGGGGGGGCGAAGCCCCCCCGAAAAATTTTTACCGCCCCCTCGGACGAAATGAAATTTATATAATTTATATAGAAAATATATACTTTTAACAGTGTCCGCCCCCCCGAAGAAAGTTTACCGCCCCCCCGAAGATTTCAAGTGCCCCCCCGGAGAAAAAAGTCTGGAAGAAACACTGCACAAGTTCCATTGATATGATCGATCTTTCTGAAATGAAGAAGAAAAAAATTACCGGATGCTGATTACAAGAATGGCATACAGTTATAGAACAATGAATATTAGATGAAGATGATGCTTTGGAGAGCCTTAAGCCGAAACAAGTTAAGGATCAAATTTAGCACGAAGCCTTCATTATACAACAGTAGCTTAGCGAGGGGGGGGGGGGGGACTGGGGGTGCGGACTGCACCGGGTGACACCCCATTTAGGGGGGGGGGGGGGGGGTGACACCAAGGCAGAGAAAAATGATAATTCCACTTAATTGAGTGATTAATTCGAGTGTTAAAAAGTCTTTTAAGAGCAAATTTGACAAATCCCGAGAAAGGGTGGGGGGGGGGGGGGTGCAAATTGAAATTTTGAGGGGGGGGGGGGTTGCAAATTGCAAATTGAAAGTTTGTCACCGGGCGCCGGGAAGGGTCGCTACGCCTCTGGGGGTGACACCTTTAAGTGCCGCACCGGGTGACGCCTTACCTCGCTACGCCACTGTTATACAATAATGCTGCAAAAAGGTTTTCATTCTGAACAAAATTAGAAGTTAAAGAGCTGCTTTATGCTAAAAATATTCTGAAAATGTGGACATGAATCTTGTAGAAGTCAAGCATATTCATGAATGTCTGACACAGTCAAGCCTGGTTCACTATAACATGATAGCCTGACACATAAGTAGTGTTTCTTCCAGACTTTTTTCTCGGGGGGGGGGGGGGGACTTGATATTTTCGGGGGGAGCCCCCCCCCCCCCCCCCCCCCCCCCCCCCCCCCCCCCCCCCGAAGAGATGCCTGGAACAAACTCTGCACAGAAGGATCTGTAGGTCTGTAGCTGGTATAAGATAATATTTCACGAGTGTCCAATTAACATTCCCTAATGTAGAAGAAATTTTGAGATTGATTTTGATGGTTGCAAGTAGATGAAGACCATAAACAAGTAAATTAGAAAAACTCAAGATAGTGGCCCCTGCCACCCTTAGTGAAGGGTTTGGAAGTTGGGGGGGGGGGGGAATCCCCACGACCGCTTATCCACCCATCGTGGAAGGGTGGGGTGCGGTGGGGGGGGGGGGGAGACCCCACTCACGCCAATTTTAAATGGGCAGCGGAAACTTGTTAACAAAGTGTGTCTCTTAGTGTGATTTTATATCGGTAGGGGCATTTGATGATCAGAGTCGTTGTATTGGCCAAATTTGTCTACGTTTTTTTTTTATAGAGGCGTTGTTTTGGTCAGTATTATACATGCAGAGATTGATCTGGAAAAGACGAAACAATGCCGCAGCAATTTAAGCCTCAAACGATGCATGTGATAATTTAAACCGTAACAAAACAAAGTTTAATTACATTTGGCACATACTGCATAGATTATAAACAGACAATTTGGTATTAAAAAGTTTGTAAACAAAAGGGGGATAACTCTCTTATCATACAACGTTATAGAACAGTGAGTTGGTGTTCACATCATTTCTACCTCAGTCTTGGACGTCACCAGCGGTGATACCGACTTTACACGATCAAGTTTATGGACAAGTTTACGGACAACAAGATAAACAGACTCGTTTGTTGTATATTTCTTCTGATCAAGTTGTTTTCATTTAAATGTAAAAAAGGTAAAAATTAAATTATGGTAGAATTAACAAGGGGATGTCTTCTTCTTTGAATTTTAAATGGGAGAGAACTGTACTCTACACCAAATGTTATTAATAGTTATTATAGCTTCAGTGTACTCAAACTGATGTTACTGATGTAAAGACCTTTGTACAACAAATACTAGTATCGTTTGTGTACTGTGGTGTAGTGTACAGACATCTGTACAGTAAATACTAAATGCTGTAGCATTTGTGTACTTTGATGTAGCGAAATCTTGTACAATAAATGCTGTTAGCGTCTGTGTACTGTGGAGTACAGACATATTGTACAACAAATAGATCTATGTGTATTCTGGTGTACTACAAGAAATGCTGGTAGCTGTACTGTGGTGTACTACAACATATACTGGTATCATATGCGTACTGTGGTGTACTACAAAAAAATGATTTGTACTGTGATATAGTGGACATACATCTGTATCTGCTGTTGCTATGGATGACATACACATTTGAGTGCAATACATAGATCATGGTAAAATAATGCCAAATGTTATATCTTAAGGCTTCACCTTTGTCTTGAGATAGCTTTTATAACCTTCAAAAAACAGGGGCCCATATTTTCTTAGGGAGTCTGATAGTGGCCTATTATTTAATAAAACATTGTTTTTATGATACTGTAAATAATGTTTCTGTCATGCATCTCTCCAGGGTGGAACTTACTGCCACACATCTCATTCATTACAAAATAAATATAAATTAAATTTAAGCAGAAAATATATACTTAAACCATTCCTATATAGCCCACCCCCTCCTCTCAGGTAGTTTCAGATTTCCCTCCTTGAGCAAATTATCTGAAATAAAAACCTTGCTTATAAACGTTTGTCTTCAGATATTAGTTTAGAATTAAAAGCATGATTACGGTGTCATCCATTTATACGTTTTTTAAAAAAAAATTGAAATTGTTTTCAAAACTATTCAAGTGTATAAAATTGGTAAGAGGGGGTTAAAACTTTCAAAATTGTTTTTTTTTTGTAATAATTTTATGATATTTTATGTTCATGTTTTACAATTTCTATATAGGTAAAGCAAGAGGTGTCATTAGGTGTCAACAAATGACAGCCTCCCATCATGTGATTTAATGGTCAACAAATGACAGCCTCCCATCATGTGATGTCAGATGTCAACAAATGACAGCCATCTATCATGTGAATGACAGCCTCCCATCATGTGATGTCAGATGTCAACAAATGACAGCCATCCATCATGTGATTTCAATGGTCAACAAATGACAGCCTCCCATCATGTGATGTCAGATGTCAACAAATGACAGCCATCCATCATGTGATTTCAATGGTCAACAAATGACAGCCTAATGACAGCCTCCCATCATGTGATGTCAGATGTCAACAAATGACAGCCATCCATCATGTGATTTCAATGGTCAACAAATGACAGCCTCCCATCATGTGATGTCAGATGTCAACAAATGACAGCCATCCATCATGTGATTTCAATGGTCAACAAATGACAGCCATCCATTGTGTCAGTGGTCAACAAATGACAGCCATCCATCATGTGATTTCAATGGTCAACAAATGACAGCCATCCATTGTGTCAGTGGTCAACAAATGACAGCCATCCATTGTGTCAGTGGTCAACAAATGACAGCCTCCCATTGTGTGATGTCAGATGTCAACAAATGACAGCCTCCCATCATGTGATGTCAGAGGTCAACAAATGACAGCCTCCCTTCATCTGATGTCAGAGGTAAACAATGGTGGTCATATTAAGTAAGTGGTCTGATGTTTCATGAAGTTTAGTTCCCCTCTACAGTCATCAGATAACCTGCTTTGATCAAGAATTATATCTTAGTTTTTAAATAATTGTTTGTGTTATTAAAATTCACTTCATTATACTATCAATCAAGTTTAGCCAAACAATTTAAAACATTTGAAAGACTTTAATGAGGCTCAAATCTTTTTACATTTCTACCCCCCCCCCCCCCCTCTCCATACTTGAGATCCACATATCCGTTCAAGTCTGACACAAGATGTTCAGTCTGATGATCTCACTAGAACCAGGAGTCACTGACTCGTTTGGAGTCTTCATCTTTTGTTGATTTTTTATCAGCTACAGTTTTTCTTTTATCATGCAATGAAAAAGAATCGATCCAACATATTGCAATTTTATTTGAAATTTTTTTTTTTTTTATTGAGGTGCTAATTTTTAATTTTCTTACAAGAGTAACCAGCAATCCATATGTGTGGACATACCATCGCAGCTTGTTATAAATGTGGGTCTACAAATATGTGAGGACCTTCTGTGGACACCAGCCCACCATATGATGTTACCAGCCCAGCATGTGATGTTACCAGCCCAGCATGTGATGTTACCAGCCCACCTTGTGATGTTATCAGCCCACCTTGTGATGTTATCAGCCCACCTTGTGATGTTATCAGCCCACCATGTGATGTTACCAGCCCATCATGTGATGTTACCAGCCCACCATGTGATGTTACCAGCCCACCTTGTGATGTTATCAGCCCACCTTGTGATGTTATCAGCCCACCATGTGATGTTACCAGCCCATCATGTGATGTTATCAGCCCACCATGTGATGTTACCAGCCCATCATGTGATGTTACCAGCCCACCATGTGATGTTACCAGCCCACCTTGTGATGTTATCAGCCCACCTTGTGATGTTATCAGCCCACCTTGTGATGTTATCAGCCCACCTTGTGATGTTATCAGCCCACCATGTAATGTTACCAGCCCACCATGTGATGTTACCAGGCCACCTTGTGATGTTTCCAGCCCACCTTGTGATGTTACAAGCCCACCTTGTGATGTTACCAGCCCAACATGTGATGTTACCAGCCCACCTTGTGATGTTACCAGTCCACCTTGTGATGTTACCAGCCCATCATGTGATGTTACCAGCCCACCTTGTAATGTTACCAGCACTTGTAATGTTACCAGCCCACCTTGTAATGTTACCAGCCCCACCTTGTGATGTTACCAGCCCCACCTTGTGATGTTACCAGCCCACCTTGTAATGTTTCCAGCCCACCTTTGTGATGTTACAGCCCACCATTGTGATTTTACCAGTCCACCTTGTGATGTTACCAGCCCATCATGTAGATGTACCAGCCCACCTTGTAATGTTTCCAGCCCACCTTGTGATGTTACAAGCCCACCATATGTTACCAGCATATTACATATGAAAACTTCACTTGGAAAGTTATGAAAAGTCACGAAACTATTTCACATTTGCTCTCACAATTGTTATATTGTATTGTTGTTGTATTGTTGTATTGTTGTTGTATTGTTGCAGTATTGTTGTATTGTTGTTGTATGGTTGTTGTATTGTTGTGTTGTTGTATTGTTGTATTGTTGTATTGTTGTATTGTTGTATTGTTGTTGTATTGTTGTATTGTTGTTGTATTGTTGTATTGTTGTTGTATTGTTGTTGTATTGTTGTTGTATTGTTGTTGTATTGTTGTTGTATTGTTGTATTGTTGTTGTTGTATTGTTGTACAGTATTGTTGAAAGGGGTTGGGGTGAGGGAAGGGGAAAGGGGTTTGGGGGTGGTGAAGGGAGGGGAAAGGGGTTGGGGGGTGGTGAGGGGAGGGGAAAGGGGTGGGGGGGTGGTGAGGGGAGGGGAAAGGGGTGGGGGGGGTGGTGAGGGGAGGGGAAAGGGGTTGGGGGGTGGTGAGGGGAGGGGAAAGGGGTTGGGGGGTGGTGAGGGGAGGGGAAAGGGGTTGGGGGGTGGTGAGGGGAGGGGAAAGGGGTTGGGGGGTGGTGAGGGGAGGGGAAAGGGGTTGGGGGGTGGTGAGGGGAGGGGAAAGGGGTTGGGGGGGTGGGGAGGGGAGGGGAAAGGGGTTGGGGGGTGGTGAGGGGAGGGGTTGGGGGGGGGGAGGGGAGGGGAGGGGAAAGGGGGTGGTGAGGGGAGGGGAAAGGGGTTGGGGGTGGTGAGGGGAGGGGTTGGGGGTGGTGAGGGGAGGGGAAAGGGGTTGGGGGTGGTGAGGGGAGGGGAAAGGGGTTGGGGGTGGTGAGGGGAAAGGAGTTGTGGGGAAAGGGGCGTTGAAAGGGGTTTCGAGGGGAAAGGAAAGGGGTGAGGGGAGGGCTAAGAATAGGTGTTCAGGGGAAAGATGGAGGGGAGGGGAAGTTAAAGCGATGGTACGGGAGAGGGAGGAGAAGCGGGGGAAGGAAGGGGAGGGGAAAAAGGTTTTAATTGAGGGAATATTATGTGGGGGGGGGGGGCAAGAGGGTGGGAGGTGGAGGGGGTTGGGGGGGGGGGTCTCAGGCGTAGCGATCTATTCAATTTGGACTATCAATTTTCCCTCCCTCCTATTTCTATATATAGTTATTTCTGTCTTTGAAAAAGTGACCCACCCCCATCCCACAGTTGGAAAGATTTGTAGCGCTTCTTACCAATTACTATCCCGTAACATTTTCTATTTCGGTGCCACAAGGTAAGAAATCAATGTGTAAAGCCTTGTAGTCGTTTATTTTCGTGACTATGACTGTGGTTAATTCAATACTTTAGCTTAAAATGAGTTTTTTATGTTAACTTTTCTACCCCTTTTAGCGCCCTCTTAGGGTCGGCGCCCGGGGCGGCCGCCCCATCCGGCCTCCCGTAGCTACGCCACTGGGGGGGGGGGGTAGAGGTGGAGGAGAAATGTGAGTTGGGAGGGGCAGGAGGTAGTGAGAGGAAGCGGGGTAGGAGGGAAGTATGGAATAGGTTGGGGGTTGGGATGTAAAAGGGAAGCGGGGGTAGGAGAGAAGTGAGGGGGGGGGGGATTGGTGGTGAATTGGTTTGGGTGGAGAAAGTGTATCTTATTCTTTTTTGGACGACCCTAACATCACTATATAAAACCTCCCGCTGTTTTCAAACGGATGTTTCGCGGTTGCACGAAAATGAACGCTGTTTGTGATTCTTTTATAAAATAAAACAACATAAAATAAAAGATCATTATAAAATTCAGCTTTGAGCAACGTTTTATTTTTATTGTTAAACTCAGACAAGTTTATAAACAGCTTTAGTTCTTCCAATATCTAAGGATTTAGACAGCTTTAGTTGTTCCAATATCTAAGGATTTAGACAGCTTTAGTTCTTCCAATATCTAAGGATTTAGACAGCTTTAGTTCTTCCAATATCTAATGATTTAGACAGCTTTAGTTCTTCCAATATCTAAGGATTTAGACAGCTTTAGTTCTTCCAATATCTAAGGATTTAGACAGCTTTAGTTCTTCCAATATCTAAGGAACCAAAAGCATGTTTACATTCTGCAGACCTGGAACTTCCAGGTTCTGTCCTCAAATGTGACGTCATGGACGCTGTAAGCTCCCTTGATAACGCTGTTGGCCGGGACTTCTAGGGTCAGTGGGCCCCCCATCGTGTTGACGTCACTGGTTGTATGACAGTCACGTGGTGTCCTCTTGCTCACGGCGCAGCACTGGAAGTTGAACCTGCGGTCCTCAACTTGGTTGTCATGGTAACTCTGAATTCCGGTTAGAACTTTTTTCCCAGGGCAAGTGTAGGACAGAGGAGACCCAAAGCCGTTAACGTAGCCTAGCAAATAAAGGGCGATAATGGATTTAAAACACAATCGTTGTCATATTCTTACAAGATATAGGGTGATAATGGATTTAAAAACACAATCGCTGTCTTAATCTAACAAAAAAAAAAGGACAATAATGGATAAAAACAAATTTTTTGTTATAATCAAACAAAATAATGGACTAGGTGGAATAATGACAAGGGCTTTGACACAAGCAATCAAATGTTTGGTGGTAAAGAAGATAACGGGTACCGTAATGTTGATTATGGCATTGTTTGTACTTTGTCTCATGGCTGTATATGTTGATACGTTTTTATAATTTACAATGTTCTTATTCGTTGCCATTTTCTATTTTAGCATTTGTTGTTTCCGCATATTTAAACCAAGTTTGTGTTGTCATGTATCAACTATCATACCTTGCTAAAGGCAGTTGTAAACATACAACATACACTTGATCTAACTTTTCTATTTACTGTTAAAGAATTGCAAGAATTACTTTTAGTAATTAAGAAATTTAAACCATAGTTCAGTAATTGAAAGTTTGCTGTGTATATTAATTAGTTATGTGTTGACTACATTCGTTTGTAACTGTGATGCTTTAATTGCTATAATTAATTAGTGTTGTTATACAGTTCTGTTAAACATTGTGGAGGTACGATATTGCTACTATAAAACATTGTTAATTTAAAAAATGTTCTTAACCAACAAAAGATTTACTGGAAAACTTGTCCATGCACAATGTTGTTTACGGACAACATAGTTACTGTACAAGATTGTTTTTGTACAACAAAGTTACTGTACGATATTGTTACTAGAAACCATATTACAGCATAACATTGTTACAGTAAAACATTTTTACTGTAAAGCAATGTGAAGGTACAACTTTGTTACCGAAAATGATTATTACAGTAAAACATTTTATAGCTCAACATTGTTAATGTAAAGCGTTGTTACTGTCAACAAAATGAAGATACAGACTAGCCTAACTATCTGAAAGAGAAAAGGTTCATGCACAAAGGGGATTTGCTAAAGGTATGTTTCGATGGTAGAGCTATAGGCATCTTATGTAGCTACGAGATATGGCCAGCGTTTAAAATGTCTATGGCACATTACCCGATCTATACATAGATCAGAGGTTTGAACTCACTAATGTGCTGGTCGAATCTATAAATATATCAGATGTTTGAACTCACCACTGTGCGTGCAGCTGTTGGTCAGGTTGGCAGCTCTACAGGTCACTGACCACTGCCTGTCCTCCATCAGATTGTCGTACACACTGGAGATGGCGCTGATGGCTTGACCAGCCGGACATTTGAAATCAAACGGCTGACCCAACATGTTTACATAAGCTGCCCTAGCAGCAGTCGCCAAGATCAAGACGCAGAAGACTTTAAACTGGCTGGACATTTCCGTCAAAAGGTCTGTATGGACTAGATCGTCACTTTGTGTTGATAGAAACTGTAGAGCTCTCAAGGGCCCAACACCGCTTTTATAGTTTTGATTGTGTCGAAATCTAGGGTTATTCCCCTTATACATTTTTTTTGTTGTGCGTCATAACATGTCAACTCAAAGTTTATTTGTAGAAATCACGACTTCATATGTGTGCTAAATCTGCACTCGGTTTTTTAAAGTCTAATTTAGCTTAATTAGGTATTAAAATAACTGTAAAATCTCGGAAGGTGAATAAGTAAATAACATTGCATTTGTAAAATATAAAGTTGAAGCAAACTTAAATATTCTGTCCATGAAAATTTTGCCTTCTTCATATCTTCTTAAACTTATAAATTAGAATTGAAAAAAAAACCCGAGATAATTCATAATTGTATTTTTTTGCACCCTCCTAACCAAAGAATGGACATTGAAATAAATTAATGTTATTAAACCAGTGGCGTAGGCAGAGGGGGGGGGGTTACAACCCCCCCCCCATGGACCCCTATGTAATTTTATTACTGTCATAATACCAATAATACCACTGTTACTTATTTAAATCTTTTTCTGAATCAGTTTATATGTATAATTGTGTATGTATGTTTAGAACAGTAATCTAAAAAATGACGCTATGTTCACTCTGAGTTGGTTATTTCTCCACCCCCTCCCCCTCCTCACCTAAAGTCGCTGGACAGTGGTGAATGAAGTTGAACCCCACTCCAACCCTTCCCGAACTGATCTGTTAAGAACATTTGGGAAAACGCGTAATGAGGTACCAAAGTACCATGCCGCCAGAAAGCTTTTGAAACAGGTAAAACTGTGTAAATATTGTTTTTTTTGCAATTACCAGTAGAGAAGTGTGTGATCGAACCCATACCAAATCATTATGTTAAAAATTGAACTTTAAAGAACCCAAAAAATAAACAGTAGCTTATTATAAAAATGAATGATCGGAACTGCAAGACCAATAATTTATTGATAGAAAAGTTTTATTTTATACCAACTCTGATTTTAAAAAAAAACTTTCATTATGCTGTAATATTTTAGCATTTATGGTAACAATATATTTATATTTTAGCATTTATGGTAACAATATATTTATTTCTGATTGTAGACAACATATTTTGGTAAAATCGAATAGTGTAAGCTATTATATTATATACTAAAGTAGTTATTGATCTGTTTTGACATTTACAATTAAATTTAGTGATTATTTCCCCTCGTTCGTTTGTCTTAAGTTAATATTCTAAAAATGATTATGTGAAACTGTTTTTTTTCACAAGGATTACAAAACAGATTATGTTGCATTGATTGTTTTTGGTTGTATTGTGTGTATATTTTGTTTGTTTGTTGTTTAGAGTGACAAATTGTTTTGTTTGTCGGCCAACATTGTGTGTTTTTTTATTTCTTCAGAGTAATACTTTCAATTTATTTTACACCATAGCGAAGCAATGACATACAGCTAGTTTATATATATATATATATATATATATATATATATATATATATATATATATATATATATATATATATATATATATATATATATATATATATATATATATATATATATATATATATATATATATATATATATATATATATATATATATATATATATATATATATATATATATATATATATATATATATATATATATATATATATATATATATATATATATATATATATATATATATATATGTATAATATATATATATATATATATATATATATATATATATATATATATAAACATATTAAACATATTAAACATATTAAACATATATATATATATATATATATAAATATTAAACAATATATTAATTGTTAAAAAAGGACGCCAGCATTTTCATTTCCAGAGTTGTTCACGAAAACTGGATCTGTTAGCACTTTTCTTAGATCTAAGAAATATTAATTTAAAATATTAAAATAACATTTGCTTACGTTACAATAAACTTATACCAAAATTAGATTATGAGTTATTTTTGTTCTAAAATTAATCCCACCCAACAAAGCAATTAATTAGATTTAACATGCACACACTGAAATAGGACGTCATGAATGTGATGCCAATTTAGCTTGCAGTTGTTGTAAGGAGGTAATTCCTGACAAGTTATTCTATTTTTAGATCGCGGATTTCTCCAAGCGTAGCTTAAACTTTTGAGCTTGTTGCTTAATCATTGTTATTGTAGTTGTAGTCATGTGGGACAATTTTCATAATAAACTTTATGACTAGGAAAATGGATTGATAAAATATAAAACAACGTATATTTTTTAAATTTGTTTTAGGCTGTCTATATATTTCATTGATATTAATATCAGCGGTGGGTCTCAGAGGCGTAGCAAGGGCGGGGCGGTGGATGCGGACTGCACCGGGTGACACCATTTAAAGGGGGGGGGGGGTAACACTAAGGCAAAAAATTGCAAAATGTACAGAAAAGTATGTCTTAGTGCCAGATCCATTAGAGATCAATTAAAGTTAGATAGACTTTTAAGTACAAATCGATAAATATTACAATAGGGTGGGGGTGTTGTTTCTGGGGGGGGGGGTGACACCACAAAGTGCCAGACCTTGTGACACCCGACCTAGCGACGCCACTGGTGGTTCTAAAATTTCAGAGGCGCACAAACTGGTGTTTCTGTTTCATGTAATAGAGCAGTTCACGTCTATAAAAACTTGACATTTATTTCGAGACGGCGTAAAAAATGCTTCGGTTCAATAGAGCACGAGAGAATAAAAGAATGGGCTCCAGAGGAAATACCCCAAGCATGTTGGGTTTGAAAGGGCATATCCTACGTATATTGGGTTTGAAAGGGCATATCCTACGTATATTGGGTTTGAAAGGGCATATCCTACGTATATTGGGTTTGAAAGGGTATATCCTACGTATATTGGGTTGGAAAAGGGAATATCCTACGTATATTGAGTTGGAAAGGGCATATCCTACGAATATTGGGTTGGAAAGGGCATGTTTCTGATGTTTCCATTATTTGATGTTTCTGATGTTTTTAGTGTTTGATGTTTCGTATGTTTCTGTTTTACTGATGTTTTCCACTGTTTGATGTAACTGATGTTTCCAGTGTTTTTTAAAGTTAATGATTGATATTTTCCATGCAATCATGTAGATGATTAAATGAAGTACACAGAATGTCGAGTTTCGAGCGGTTACATGAAATAACTTGGTGAACTATTAGATTATTTTGTTGAATTAACAAGGTGTAAGGTAAATAGGGACCACAGTAAGATGTGCAGATGAGTCGCAGTATTAAAATTTGTTGTTGTTGGTTTAAAGTGAACATTAGCTAGTGATTGATAAAGAAATACACAGTCGTATGTTGCAAACTAAACACGAAATACATTTATTTGAATGGACGTGTTTATTATGTTAGATTTATGTCCATTAGCCACTGATAAGTGAGTCTTCTCAACTCTACTTGACAAAGTCTAGATCTTACAGATGTACAGTTTCCACATCCGGTCTTCAACGCCGTCCTTGTGAGCGCTGAAGACGCCACGACGTAACCAGCCGGAACCGTGTATGCGAAAGTTTCGTCGTATTTGTTAGTGAAGTCGGTCATGTAGCACTCATTGAGTTCAACCATGTCCAGTTCACAGCATTGGAACTTGAACCTGCGATCTTCGTAAAAATTTTCATGGTAGCTCTCTAAGCCTGTCACTACGGCATATGCTGGACACATAAAGGCCAAAATCTGATCCATCTCGTTCACATAACCTGGGGATACCACGGTTTTTATTGAGGGAGAAATATAAAAAAACAAGTACCACAAAGCGGGAGTGATCTCTCCTCAACCAGAATTAGTCTAAAGAACTACTTCCGGTCACCGGAAATCACTAAAATTTTTACAGCAACAAGTGAATAAAATCATAAACACTTGTATGAAGTTTTGTCCAATAAACTAAAACGGCGGTCAAGTCATCGGTATTTTAGAATGCAGAAATATAGAATTGCCACCACCAGATGTCGGTGGTCAACAAAAAATTGAGAGCGATCCAAATACAAGATCTTATACTTAATTTTAAATTTCATTTACCTGACTCAAAGAGTTCTCAAGCTATCTTGTTCCGGTTACCGGAAATAGTACAACAATTTTATGCTCATTTGTGAAATTTCGTTTATCTAATTTAAATACACCTGTAATAGGTATTTTAGAGGCTATTGTGTTCCCACGGAAATAAAGTTCTACTTTTTTATATCAGTAGTCGTTAAAAAATTGATAGAAAATTTCGCATAAAATATAATAGGGCCTATTTATATTAAATATTCCGTCGACCCAACTTTAACGATTAATTGGGTTTTGAGAAACCGGAAATCACTTAAACTTGGATTCACATTTGATATAATACTCATTCATGGAATTTCTTCAACAAGACTGTAAAGATACTCACGAACAGACAGACAGACAGACAGACAGACAGACAGACAGACGGAGAGACAGACAGACGGAGAGACAGAGAGACAGACAGACAGAGAGACAGAGAGACAGAGAGACAGAGAGACAGAGAGACAGAGAGACAGAGAGACAGAGAGACAGAGAGACAGAGAGACAGAGAGACAGAGAGACAGAGAGACAGAGAGACAGAGAGACAGAGAGACAGAGAGACAGAGAGACAGAGAGACAGACAGACAGACAGACAGACAGACAGACAGACAGACAGACAGACAGACAGACAGACAGACAGACAGACAGACAGACAGACAGACAGACAGACAGACAGACAGACAGACAGACAGACAGACAGACAGACAGACAGACAGACAGACAGACAGACAGACAGACAGACAGACAGACAGACAGACAGACAGACAGACAGACAGACAGACAGACAGACAGACAGACAGACAGACAGACAGACAGACAGACAGACAGACAGACAGACAGACAGACAGACAGACAGACAGACAGACAGACAGACAGACAGACAGACAGACAGACAGACAGACAGACAGACAGACAGACAGACAGACAGACAGACAGACAGACAGACAGACAGACAGACAGACAGACAGACAGACAGACAGACAGACAGACAGACAGACAGACAGACAGACAGACAGACAGACAGACAGACAGACAGACAGACAGACAGACAGACAGACAGACAGACAGACAGACAGACAGACAGACAGACAGACAGACAGACAGACAGACAGACAGACAGACAGACAGACAGACAGACAGACAGACAGACAGACAGACAGACAGACAGACAGACAGACAGACAGACAGACAGACAGACAGACAGACAGACAGACAGACAGACAGACAGACAGACAGACAGACAGACAGACAGACAGACAGACAGACAGACAGACAGACAACATTACAAAAGTAATTTTTAATTCTATACGTTGTAGGCCTATACGAGAAAGTAAAAAAGGCAGGTAAATTGATGTTATTTTGAGGCTAAAAACGCATACCAATAAATGATGCTCTAAAAATTTCGCAGCTAAAATGGTCTGTAACTCACCACTTTTAGAGCAGTTCAACATCGAAGTGGGAACACTACCACAGGCAAAATCCCAAACTCTGTCGTTGTAATAGTTGCTGTGTTGACTGGCCAGGTAGCTGAGGACTTGACCTTTCGGACACAGGAAGTCAAACGGCTGGTCATAGCTCGTCATGTACGCTACTGCCATGTCACTGGCCGCAAGAAGAGCCACTATACAAAATAGTGGGGTCATTCTAGGAAGATAAACTATAAAGAAGAATACAACTATGCATACTAATAGCGTTATTCTAGGAGGCTAAACTATATACATGAATACAACAATACAGACTAATGGAGTCAGACATTCTAGGTGGCTAAACTATAAAGATGAGCTCCAACAATCTAGGATGATGTACACCAGTACTGGCTTTAATTACAGGGATGGAATTTGGGATTCGATTAAGGGGGAGGGGGTAATTGACGGGGGGGGGGGGTGTTAATGTCGTAGATGTATAAACACATGTGTTGTATTTTAATATTTCACATTATTAATAGAGCCGAATAAAATATATTAAAAAGTGGAATAACTGGCCTAACAGTATAATTCGTTGTATACACATTTTAATTTGTGCTTAATTAAGTCAATCGAGGAATCAGAAATGATCTCGTGGATAGTATATATACTAATATAATATAGTACGCTATATTATATTAATGGACACCAGCGAGAAAAGTCTCAAAAGGTCATGTTGTTTAAATTTGCATTGTTATTTAAAAACTTGATATGCAAAGTTTTGTAAACAAAAAAAATTATAAATAGGGGCTGTCAGAAATCGATCACGGAGTTCCTGTACAGCCAATTAATGTTTGTCTTACGAAAGTGAAACATCAGGTTATAACTTAGGCTTGATGAAAATCATTAGAAATGTAGCCTTAAACTCAACAAATTATTTTCAAGTTCTCTGGATCTGCAACTTGTATAGCATTGATTCTAAAAATATTAAATTTCTGAATTAATTTTAGGCTTAAGTTTTTAATAAAATTTTATCTTTTATTATTTTTACGGTCCTAAATCTAAAAAAGCACATTTTTATTCCATGTCAACAACATTACGGAAGGATTTTCGTCAACTCACTGGTGTCCATTGGCAAGGCACTTATAAAAACATCACGAATTAAAAAATTAACATTGTGAAGGTTTTTCAAACTATCCAAATTCTGACGCTAATCTCCTAATCAAGAACTTAGTCCATTTCATGTTTGCAGACGAAATACTCACGTTTATGTTTGTAGATGGTCAAACCGCAAAGTCCATCGTTGGATTAGTGTCTTATCAGTAGGCGAATATAGATTATTTAGCTTCTAAGTTAATTATTTATTTTGGTAAAGAAAACATCATCCTAAACTATCCCCGCGGCAATCTGTTACTGACATCAAATCAATGGCCAGGTTTTAGTCAGTAAATGATAGTGTAACGAATTCGTTTCTTGTCTCCGTATTGACTAGTGTTAGGGGTTTTACTGTAAATATTAGACCACTGAAGTTTGCTTTGAAAATGGAAGCTATTTCAGAAGTAAATGAAAACAGAAGATGGCGCTGGATGGAATACGATTTAAGGATGAAAGCAGTGGATATTACAGGAATGGCGTTGAAAAAGGAAACAGGTAAGACAAATGTAGAAGTGGAGGCGCGCACTAGAAAAACAATTGACAAGAGCCGGGCTATCTTAGGAAACTGCTAAGAAAGTTAGCAGAGAAGTGGAGAGAGCTGTCTGTGGCGTCCCATGTGTCTTGAGCAATGAAGAGCAAAGATGATGATGCCCACTTGGTTGAGAAGGCAATAGTTTCAACGTAAAATATTTATCTATCTGTTAATTCATTAGAACCACCATATTTCTTTTTTCGAGTGAAAACTGTTACGCTCCTCATTTTACACCAAGAATTACGTAACATTATTATAAGCTAAATTCAATTGACATAAATTAAATCATGTATTCTTTGATTAATAAATGATTAAACGACCAGTATTTCATATGTTTTAACTTTATAAGCCTAGGTTGAAATCTTGCACAAACGTTGCAAATATTTTGTTGATACAGCTTTTATTTTTAAATTTAGCTTTCTCTTCCTGTCACGATTTTGTTTGCTTCGTTAGACGAAACGGACGAGTAAATTTTCTATCATTTCTAACGGACCGATTTGTTTCAAACTTGGCACGTTGATCGAGAACCGAAGATAATGCAACGTTGACTTAGTTGGATAATTAAATAACTTTAAAAGAATAAATTTTAGTTACCAATATAAAAAGTGCTAATGTGTAAAGCGCTATTATACGCTCTTTGTTTGTGTTCATTTCGTGATGGCGTCGCTCTATCTTATCTATGTTTGAGATAGTTGTGATGTGTGTAGCTTTCTTTTAGCTTTTAGTTTTGGTTATGCAAAATTAGAGCAGACAAATATAATAAATACCACCTCACCCCTATCACATAAACTACCCCACCCCATCACTCACACCACCCGTCCCCATCATATACATTACATCGTCCTCATCACATACATTACATCGTCCCCATCACATAAGCTACCCCACCCCATCACATAAACTACCCCACCCCATCACATAAACTACCCACCCCATCACATAAACTACCCCACCCCATCACATAAACTACCCCACCCCATCACTCACACCACCCGTCCCCAACACATAAACTACCCCACCCCATCACATAAGCTACCCCACCCCATCACATAAACTACCCCACCCCATCACATAAACTACCCACCCCATCACATAAGCTACCCCACCCCATCACATAAACTACCCCACCCCATCACATAAACTACCCACCCCATCACATAAACTACCCCACCCCATCACATAAACTACCCCACCCCATCACTCACACCACCCGTCCCCAACACATAAACTACCCCACCCCATCACATAAGCTACCCCACCCCATCACATAAACTACCCCACCCCATCACATAAACTACCCACCCCATCACATAAACTACCCCACCCCATCACATAAACTACCCCACCCCATCACATAAACTACCCCACCCCATCACATAAACTACCCCACCCCATCACATAAACTACCCCACCCCATCACATACCATCACATAAACTACCCCACCCCATCACATAAACTACCCCACCCCATCACATAAACTACCCCACCCCATCACTCACACCACCCGTCCCCAACACATAAACTACCCCACCCCATCACATAAGCTACCCCGCCCCATCACATTCACCACCTCGTACCCCATCACACCCATTACCTTATCTGTATATGTATCACTTGACATGGTAATTATTCTTCCACATGTCTACACGTGTGAGCCTTTCTAATGGCTGAGCTGTTCTCTTGTCCTTCAAACCAACACTAATACTAGACGTATAACACATGTTGGGAGAGGAAAACTGGCTTTTGAGTATGAGTAATCGTTTACTTCCTATATCAGTTTGTGCTGACATTAATTAGTTGGGTCTATTTAAGTTTAACGATGCGGAGCGCCTGTTTTTCCATGTGTAAGCGCATGTCTGCAGTATGTGTTTGTCTACAGTTAACTTTTCCTTTGTGTTGATACAAAAGTTAACTGCAGTCTGTGTATCATCCGTCAACTTCACCTTTGTGCTGATACAAAAGTTAACTCAATCTATGTGTTGACATAAATGTTAACTTCAGCATGTGTATCATCCGTTACCCACCTTTGTGTAATACAAAAGTTATGTTACATATGTGAAACAGTACTCACGTTATTTGAAATAAGTTTTAGTATTTTTAGAAACAAGATATAGAGCAAAGTATAACTTCTGTATATCGGGAGTCACTAAAAATTTTAAGTTGTTAGAAACCCGTGCATAAAATGTAATACTTGTGTGTGATATTTTATCTTCCTAACGTTAATGGTACTTAAATTATCGAATTTTGAGAGACGTAAATTGGAGTAAGTTCTTCTTCCGGTTACCGGAAATCGCTCCACCATTGATAGAAAACTATATATTTGATAAAATACATATACATAGGAGATTTGGTCAACATAACTGAAAATGTACTCAAGTTATCGTTTTTATGGACGGAGTGGTCTAGCGGTAGAGAGTTGGACTGCTAACCTGCAAAGTATCGAGTTTGAATCCGGGTTCAATTCAGTAAACCGTCCCTGAGTCCACCCAACTCTGATGGGTACCTAACTCACGTTAGGGTAAGTAAAGGTGGCTGGGCATAGTGCTGACTACACTATCTCTTCATATGCCGAGGTCACAGAAAAAAGTGAACTCTACTTCACTTGCCCTATAGACCGTCAGGTTTGAAAAGGGAACTTTATTTTACTTTACTTATCGTTTTTACACCCACACACCACGCCCACACTCACATAAACACACAGATGGACGTACAGGAATGCAAAACTAAACTTTTTCCGGCACTTGAAGTTGGTTAAACATCAAAATTTGTCAAAAATCGATTTAGATTTTTTTCACGATTACAATACATTCTTAATATTCCGTATACGATAAAGTTGGAAGGTGTAAAACGGTGAAAACTGTCAAAATTGGATTTTAATTTTGGGAATGATACATACGAAAAAAAAAAAGAAGAGTTGTAGGTAGATTACTCAATACTTTATTATCCGGCTTTGGAGTTGAGATGTCTTCACATTTTCTAAAGCTTACATATGTTGTATTCACATATCCTAAAGCTTACAAATGTACAACTTCCACATCCGGTCTTCATTGAAGTCCTTGTGAGCGCTGTGTGCACCTCTGATGACGTGTAAGCGAACTTCTCGTCGTATTTGTTGGTGAACTGGGTCATGTAGCATTCGTTGAACTCAGCCGCATCCAGTTCGCAGCATTGAAACTTGAACCTGCGATCTTCGTAAAAGTTGTCGTGGTAGCTCTCTATGCCTGTCACTACGGCGCCCTCAGGGCACATGTAGGCCAACAGAAGATCAAACTCGTTCACGTATCCTGAGAGTAGACCAAACAAAGAAGGTTAGATGTTTGTTCAAAGTTTTCTAAACGTTAGCCCGTCAGTGCGTCGGACCACACTAGGCCAACACAGGACAGACTAGGCCAACAAAGGACAGGCTAGGCCATGACAGGCTAGGCCAACACAGGACAGACTAGGCCAACACAGACTAGGCCTACACAGACTAGGCCAACACAGACTAGGCCAACACAGGACAGACTAGGCCAACACAGGACAGACTAGGCCAACACAGGACAGACTAGGCCAACACAGACTAGGCCAACACAGGACAGACTAGGCCAACACAGACTAGGCCAACACAGGACAGACTAGGCCAACACAGACTAGACCAACACAGGACAGACTAGGCCAACACAGACTAGGCCAACACAGACTAGGCCAACACAGGACAGACTATGCCAACACAGACTAGGCCAACACAGACTAGGCCAACACAGGACAGACTAGGCCAACACAGGACAGACTAGGCCAACACAGACTAGGCCAACACAGACTAGGCCAACACAGGACAGACTAGACCAACACAGGACAGACTAGGCCAACACAGGACAGACTAGGCCAACACAGGACAGACTAGGCCAACACAGACTAGACCAACACAGACTAGGGCATCACAGGACAGACTAGGCCAACACAGGACAGACTAGGCCAACACAGCACAGACTAGGCCAACACAGGACAGACTAGGCCAACACAGGACAGACTAGGCCAACACAGGACAGACTAGGCCAACACAGGACAGACTAGGCCAACACTGGACAGACTAGGCCAACACAGGACAGACTAGGCCAACACAGGACAGACTAGGCCAACACAGACTAGGCCAACACAGGACAGACTAGGCCAACACAGACTAGGCAAACACTGGCTAGGCCAACACAGGACAGACTAGGCCAACACATACTGGGCCAACACAGACTAGGCCATCACAGACTAGGCAAACACTGGCTAGGCCAACACAGGACAGACTAGGCCAACACATACTGGGCCAACACAGACTAGGCCAACACAGGACAGACTAGGCCAACATAGGACAGACTAGGTCAACATAGGACAGACTAGGTCAGATTAGATTAACATGAACTAGCCTTCCCCGTAATCGGACATTTGCCGTTCGTATTTATTGGTTTGCATTATTTGAATCATGTGTACAGTGTTGTTCAGTGTTCATATTATTTATACAGTGCTAAAGTTTATGTTCAATGTTAATAGGTTATGTCAAAAATTCTAATTTTCTGTGCAATGTTTATATGTATTATCTAAAGTATCATGTTCATATTTTATGTGCAAAAGTTAATTTTTATGTGCAATGTTAAATTTTAATGTGTTATGCTCATATTTTATGTGCAATGTTAGTATTTTATTATGTGCAATGTTTGTATTTCGACAAAACAACCACTGCGTATTTTTCCCC